GTCCGGTTGAGGTGGAACAACGTTCGGGGCAAGGACCCTCGGCATCCATCCATTGATGGCGCGTTTTTCCTTGACGGATTTCTGGACTTCAGGAAGAGCTGTCTTTCGGGCACACGGTGAATCGGGGCGGGTGCCCCGGGCCCTTCGCTTTGGGGGGGGGGGGGTCCCCACATTTCGACATCACGGTGTTAGTTTGAAGGCGTCAGGGAGGAGGCAGGGATCCCAGGCATTGTGATTTGTCCCAGGCCCCGCAACTCCCTCTATGGACGGCCCTGACTTGAGGCATCACCTTGGGGGTTTGTGGCACGGCCGTGATCTTCTGGTTCCGTACACTCGACGTTTACGGCCTGAGCCTCTTCGAGTGACGGAGGGTTTGCGATGTTTGACAAACGCTGGCGGCCAGGGGAGCGCGGCGGAATGTTGGGTGGGAGTTCCAGAGAAGCTTTGGGATCTGTGCATCCGTGGACGTGGCCGGAGTGCTAATCGGAGGTGCCGGGGGAAGAACAACAAACTCAACACAAAAAGCAGTTCTAAAGAAATGAGTTGTTCAATTTAGATTGAAGATGACCTCCCGATCGACTGGTCTCCGTCATAGGAATGTGGAATTTCCACCACTGGCTCAGGTCTGCCAATGAAGACGAGTGACCCGCAGTGCTTGTGTGAGTGGGGGAGCTGCTTCGACTTTTTGGAGAGGGCTTCTTTGCGGGAGACAAAATGTACCGTTTCTGCTCACACACAAAATACAAACAAAGACAAAGATCCCCCGTATAGCCTTCACAGACTGTTGGGGCAAGTGCTGTTAGCGAGCACCTATGGAGGCCGGCACGGCACACGAGGGGGTGCGTGGCCAGCACCACGCCCGACCGCCTTTGTCTCCCCAGTGGAAATGTTTACACACTGCGCCAGGTACTCATTTGAGGCTGAGTCGACCTAGGGGAGGCCCAGGACCGGTTCAGATAATCGTCACTGGTGTTGGCCGTGAGCAGGAATCGAAACCTGGGTTGCCGGGTTTGTAGCGCAGCGCACTACCTGCTACACCACCGCTCCCCGCACACAAACACACAACATTATTTGGCTAAAGACATCCAAAGTGGCACCCTCCTGGAAAGTCTACTCTGGTTGAATTCAAATCAAGCCTTGCTACTCAAGTATTAAAATTAGTTCACGAGAAAGAAAATCCAAACATCTGCGGAAAGCTGACCTACATAGATATATATTTATAAATGTATAACTTAATACTCATGCATACAAATGTACGTCCTGTATTCATTATTAAATTATCATCATCATCATCAATTATTATCAACCGTCGTCGTTATCGTTGTATTTCATACATCCCGCTGCCATGCCTGGTATACAGACAGTTCACTAAAACGTTAAAAAAGCAAGGAACATGCAAAATAAAACACATTTGGGAGAAAAAAAGGGAGAAAGAGGGTAGTAGGGAAAATATTTTTTAAAAGCTAAGAAAATTCCAGTACATTTCCACGTAATCATTGTTGTGCTGTCAGCTTAAGTTCAGCCCAGGCAGGCAAGCGCGGCTCCAATCCAGGGAAATCCACGCCGGGTTTTAGCCGGAGGCTCGTGCAGGTCATGGCAGAAGCTCCAAGGTCACGCTCAGTCCCTTGCACAATTGAGGCGGCGGACGATAAGGCAGGGGAAGTAATTTATCTTAAATTTTCTCATTACTGTATTTTGCTTTCCAATCAAACTAATTTGATTTTCAACCCACTTTATGATAAATTGTTAAAATAATTACCCCTCTGCTCGTTAAAAATTCAATTATTCATCTCACCGAGATTATAAACCTACCCCTAATTCTCTCCCTTAATTCACAAAAAAATTCACATTACGGCTCTGCGCTTTGTTGAAAATGTCATTATTATATTAGGAGCGGTAGCAGTGATATCACGGGTTATGGTATCACGGTGCTATCATTACAGAATTATCGCCGTTCTATATTTTTTATTCCGTTTTATTATCGGTGTTATAGTTGTCCATCACTGACAGTATTATTAGTTTATTGCCGTGTTATTATTATTATGCACTTGGAATTGATAAAAGTATTATACTGTACTGAATGTTAAAATTCTATTTTTTTTTCAATAATGAAGTAAAAATTATATGGTGTTCTAACCTATCAGGTGTCATTATAAGTGTGCATTAATACACATATTAATCATACGCGGTAATGTTATGATATTATTAAAAAAATGATTAACTGTAAAATGAATAGCGGTAATTTACAGCCCCTTCCCAAATCAACTGCTGAATGACTGAAGGCCTTCCTGTGCCACGTCAGGGGTTTTTGTGAGTTTCCGAGACATACTTGACCAGGCTGGCCCCAGCCAGGGCGGGTTTCCGTGACAGGACCACACGCTTATAACGCACCGTTATTATCACTTCATCACAGAGCACCAATTTGAGACGAGGCCGCCGCCGCTCTCATCATTTCGAATTCCTCTTCTGCCGCCGGGGCTTCTGCGCGGAGCGTTCCGTACATTTGCAAACACAAAATGCCACCGCCGCCGCGCGTGTTCATTCGAACGCCTCCGCTGATTCTCCCGGAACGATTTCACAAGCCGCGTGCGCCGAGCATATTTTATTCGAGACGAAAAAGGATCCGTTTTTTTTTTTTTGAGAGCAGAGGAGGCAATTTGGCTCCGCGGCGATACGCCAGAGCAGCCTTCCGCCGCGATAAGGGGGCACCGGCGGCTTGCTTGACAAACCCTCGCCGCAGATGATGGGACAGCCGCAATAAAATCTTCATTATTCCTCGAGCAGGCGCGGCCGGGGCCCTCCCGCGCGAGCGCTGCGGCTGTGCTGATAAAGTCGAGGCGCACGCCCGCGTAGGGCGGACGGGCGGGCGGGCGGGCGGGCGAAGGCGCGGACGCGAGAGCCGGCGGAGTTCCGCGTGCTTTACGCGTCGCTGGGGAGGCTGCGGTTAGAGCTGTTGACTCGCGACCGGACGATGCCGGTGGGCGGCTGGGGCCCGCGGTTGCTCGAGGGTTTAAAGACCGAGTAGCGCCTTTGTGCGGAAGTCACCGGCCGGCGTTTGTCCCATGGACAGGCCGGCATCGCCACGGCAGGAGAGAATTTCCGCGACCCGGCTCAAGGTCGTCGAACGGAGATGAACGCTGCCGCCCCCCCCCCCCCCCACCTCCCCCCCCCCCCCCCAACACCGCGTTGCAGCTTTGCGCACGGAGACACAAACACGCAGACACAAACACCCACATAACAGGCTCGCGCACACACGCTCACGTCTTCAAACGCTCACGTGTTCACGCGTACACCCTCGCATGTACACGCTCACGCGTGCACGCTTGAATGTACACGCAAGCGCACGAAGGGGTTGGGTGGCCACGCCCAGCCGCCTTTGTCTCCCAAGCGCTCAAATTTACACACCAGGTAATCGATGTAGGGGAGGCCCAGGACCAGTTGAGATACTCGTCACTGCTGTTGGCTTTGAGGGGGAATCAAACTCGGGTCACCGGGTTTGTAGTGCAGTCTGCTGACCACTGTGCCACCGCTCCCCACACACGCACACATACACACACTCACATACACACACACACTCAACATACACACACATACACACACTCACATACACACACACTCAACATACACACACATACACAGACTCACATACACACACACACTCAACATACACACACATACACACACTCACATACACACATCACATACACACACACACTCACATACACACACATACACACACTCACATACACACAGATGCACACACTCACATACACACAGATTCACTCCGATAGCCTGAGCAGACTTTTTGGGCAAGTGCTGTTAGCGAGCACACACATACACACACATACACACACTCACATACACACAGAGACCTTGACTTACTTCCCCTAAAGGACAAATAAACGCAAAACAACGAACAAAACAACTTTTACTGCTGTCGGCAAGAAAAAAAAACAAGCAATAAAACGCCGACCCCGCTGAGTAATTTCATGTTCATGTGTTTGTTTCTCAGCATTTTACATTTTCTCCGTGCAATAGCTATTCATTATGTATCCAGGAGAGCCTCGGTGAGCCTCAGGAGTGGCTCTACGGGAGGGTCCTGTTCTGCCCTGGTTGGCTCCCTTTGTTTTCTCAGTCGTTTTGGTGTGTGAGTGGGTGGGTGGGTGGGGAGGGAGGGGGAAACCGGAGCACCATAATTAAACCCACAAAGGAGATTACTCTCCTCGAAATCCACTGTGCAGATTAACCCCCAGCAACCTCCTCGATACCCTGCGAGTGGGGGGGGGGGGCCTTCGAACACCGATCTCCGAGCGGTCCACCGACCCTGGAACGGAGAGGCGTGCGGCAGTTAGCCGTACGCCCGGCGTGGTGGGGTGCTTGTTGTGGTGGTGGAGGTGAACCGTGTAATGCAGCCCTTTAGAGGTGGGGTTGGTGGATCACGCAGAGATCACAACGCGCGCAACACTCCCAGTGCGCCGGACTTGCACGTTGGCCAGGAGAGGCGAGTGCAGCAAAATGGGTTTTCGTGACCCCCATCTGTGTGGTTTTTCGTGACCCATCTGTCTCCACGCGAAAAATAATCTTGAGGCTTCCCTCGATAAAGCACTCTCATCGGTATTGACAGTGGGACTCGCCAAACAGCGAATGCGGCGGCGGGGTGAAAACCATTAGGCGCATCACCCAATTGACTGCCCTGTACGCCACACGTACTCTGGTGGCACAAGCGGACTACTCCGCTCGGCAACCAATGGCTCGCAACATTTAAAATACAATTGTGCCCCGGTGCTTTTTTGAAACGGCGTATGAAAGAAGAAGAATGATTGACGTCGATCGTAGACCACATTTGACGCAGATTACGCTTAAAGAATGCAATGTGTTTTTTTGAACGTCATCGCTCATGCGTCCTCGTCCGCAGTTCCGTGCGATCTGCTGACTCGCGTGTGGGCCCCCTCTGCCCCCTCTGCCCCCCCCCCCCACCGATCCCCCGCGTGGCACCGCAGGCTAACGGCGGCTGGCAGGACGCAACCACCCCTTCCTCCGTCACGTCTCCCACCGAGGGGCCGGGCAGCGTGCATTCCGACACCTCCAACTGATGCACTCGCCTCGCAACCCCCCAAACCCACCTCCCCCGCCTCGCCCCTTGGTCCCCCACGCCCCTCACCCCCCTGCTCCCCCCCTCCGCCCCTCCACGGCCCTGCCAGTGCGCACCACTGAGGAGCCCCCCCCTCCTCCGCTCCACCCCTCCCCTATTTCTCGTGGTGCATCTTTCAAGGTCAAAGGTCAACGTCTCCGTTGGAGCGTCTCTTCCCACACGCTCGAATAACCGAGCGTTGTGGGCGGCGGCGGGGGGGAGGGGCGCCGCGTGTTCTCGTTGACGGCGCACGAGCCAGTGGGGATATTCCACATTCCTATGGTGGGGACCAATCTCTCTCTGCATAGGATAACCACTTCTCGCAATTTCGTCGCTAATTTTATCGACTCGGGAGAGGCGATGGCCCAGGATTGTAAGTCGCAACATTTCGATTGTCAGGCCCTCTCCACCGCACGATACCGAAATTCGATTTTTAAAATTTGTTGTTGCGGAACGTCTTCGCTTTGCGAGCAGCTAAAAAAAAACCCCCTCTTGGGTCTCGCCCATTGGCCGATTTGAACGTTTGTACTTGGCGTGGCCCTCCCCATTAGGTCGACTCAGCCTAAAATGAGAACCCGATGCAGAGCGTGAGCGCGCTCTGCTCCCTCGCAGCAATCCCAAGTAAGAGGCGTCTGCAAGCAGGGGAGGCGGGATGATGTAAATGTCATCGCACATTTGTGCAAATGTGAAGCTCAAAGCTGATCGCTATCAAGATTACAAATAAAGAAATCACAATTATACAGTAAGGTATAATATATTCAATAATAGCCTAGACCGTGAAACCTCAAGGGCCCTCCCCCTCCACCCCCCGAACCATCGTTCACTTATTTTCAGAGTTAGGGCTCCCAGGTTTTGAGCGTCCCCCGCGAGAGGACTCGTTTGTAAAATCTTCCTTTCGTCGAACCGAGTTGCGTTTTTCCAAAATCCATTTCTTCGTCTCGCTCGTCGGCGGGGAGAAGTCTCCAGCTCGTCTCTCTAGCCACGCCGGGAGGATGGGGGGGGGGGGTGGGAAACGGCTGACTACGCCGGCGGAGCGCCGGATAAAGGCCCGGCGGGGATCGCTCGGCCCTCGGCAGAGCCAGCAGCGGCGGGAGGGGCTGAGGGAGAGCGACTTGTCGGGCTGACTGCGGAGCTCCGCAAAAAGTGTGCCAATCTCACCGCACCCCCTGTCCCCCCCCCCCCTCAACGTGGGTCTGTTCCGAATGGCGCCACGTTCATTTCACCGTGACTTCACGTCGCGTCCGCTATCAGAGGACAGGACGAAGGGAAGTTGCCGAAAAAGTTTTCATCCGGCTCTCTCTGTCTGCAAAGTTGGGTCATTTCCAAGCACGACGTTTTCGGTGAAAGTTATCGCAAAATGAACCGCGGGACTTCCACGCGGAGCGGTTAAATTAGAACAATCACACGGCTTGCGGAGAGTTTAACATGCTTTGAATAAAGTTAAATAGGTGACACGCAATGCGCTGCGGGAAGTCTTCTTGCAAGTGTGACGTCCACTAAGCCAGGTAGACGTAACGCAATTTGGATAACCGTTCAAACAGATGCAATAAATTCGGCGAATTATCACAACTCCTCGTCGCACATCCGCATTGACGGGCATGGAACCTCGTGCACTTAGCAAGAGGTGTTTTACGGCTACGAAAATAAAGCTCTTGAGAGAGAGAGCGAGCGAGCGAGCGAGCCGGTGACGAAGCATCGCGCTCCCGTGCCCGTCCGAACCGTCGCGCGGCAGCGACGCCGACGCTGCGTCCGTCGATGAAAACATCGGTCCTGTAAAACATTCAAGCAACCGCACGCAAGCCAAAGCGGCTTTCAGAAGGCAGAGCGACTTGGCCGAGACGAGGAGTGAGAGGAAGTGGGGGGGGGGGGGGGAGGTGAAGGTGGAAGTGGGGGGGGGGGGGAGAGCTGTCCCTGGTACCTTAAGCGCATTTCGTGAATCTGCGGTTCCCCAAGTCCGTTTCCGACCGTCGCTCTTGACGGTCGGCGCGGGGCAGACCGTCCAAAACCGAGGCCGAGAAACACGAAGTGAAGGTCGAGGGGTGGTGTGTGGGGGGGGGGGGGGGGTGAACGTCTTGGCTCCAGGTTTGGTTGCCCGGTGGGTGGTTTCGCGCCGACGACGCTCAAGATTCCGATCGATCAGAGCCGCGCCGACCTCCGGGTTCGGAATGCGGAACGTCACGCGGGGCTCGAGGTGAACTCGTTTCCGAGTTAAACCGATGGGGCGATTCCCCCCCCTCCCCCCTCTTGGCCACGGCCGCGGGGGGAGGGGATTTCCACCTCGGCGGAGAGGGACGATGCCAACTCGTCACCGGTTATAAAGAGCATCTGCCCAGCTGCCTACGTGCGCCATCAAGCCCGTGACCTCAAGCGTGGCGACGCTCGAGCAACTGTGCGTCGAAGCTCCTGGAAGTGAATGGCGTGTTACTTGTACTCGGATTGCTGACGTGTGTAGGTGATAACTGTCGTCACAATTACGTCCTGTGTCTGCACGTGCATTCGTTTGTTAGGCATGCACAACGGGTTTCGATCTCAAATGTAGTCGGATACATTGAGTGTCTTAGAGGAGTGTTGCCGTTACCTAAAGCTTCTGCTCTACTCGAATGAGGAAGGAAGGGCTCATTCCCTTTTTTTTTTTTAAAAATACATCGTAACTTCAACAACGGTGAATATATTCAAGACGAGACGAGATTTTTTTTTTAGGTCGCGATCCTTCATCTGCGTTTGTTTCCAATTACCGCCCCCCCCCCCCCCCCCCCCAACAACAAACACCAAATCCCTCTTTCATGTACGGACACCCGCGCAGCTGCAGAAACAAATTCAGAGAGGACCCCGCGGCCACGGCCCGATGGAAAGGCAAGAATCGCGGTCGGAGCGAGCACCGGGGGACAGAATTCGCGTGTGGTGCACGTACACAACTGGGCAGTTGTTGTCCTCTGGGTGTTGTTGTTGCTTTGCGTGCGCGCGCTCCGCGGCCGGAGGAGGCGGTGGCGGGGGGTGGTGAGTTGGGCTGGTGTCTCTGCTCGTCGTCATCGTCGTCGTCGTCGTCGTCCCGCATTTCGTTTCGCGCTCCCCCCAAGAAGCCGGAGACGCTCCCAGAGTGGCTTAGGGAGACGAAGCAGAACGCGGAACGGGTCTCTGGAGGGACGAACGCACGCGCGTCCACATCTAAATCTGTTGGGGGGTGGGGGAGGGGGGGGTTCCGAGCGGGTTTGTGGATGACCATTTCCAGAAAATGAAACAAAAACAGGGTGTGATGGGGACGGGGTCCAGAGGGTTCCAAGGGTTTTTGGGAGGTGGGGGGGGGGAGAAGACACTGCCGCGTCTCCACCGCTAACGAACGCTGAGCGGCATTCGAAGAATGGGGATTTGGCTTCTTTCAGGTAAATGTAAATAGCGTAGACGCACGCCGCCGCTGACGACGGCCGTTCGGAACGGCGGCGCACAGCGGGCGCGGTGAGAAACACCCCCGACGGGCACCCCCCCCCACCCCCCCCACCCCCCCCCCCGTCGCGTGGGGCGCCGCCGCTGTCGTCCGGTGGACTCCCGAGGGAGCCGAACTCATCACCGCGTCGATCGATCCCTCGTGGAGCGGCTGAAGGGTGAACGGAGTGGCGGGTGGGGTGGGAATCTCCCATCGCACGTCGGAGTTTGATGGGCCCGGTGCTGTTCGTCGGGAGCTTAAAGTCACAGCCGACGGTCGCGCGTTAAAACCCCCCAGTTCCCGGGCCCCCCCCCCCCCCCCTCCACCACCACCGCCTCTTGCTAAACCCCGAACTTCTTGGTCGTCGCTTGTGTAAAAAAAAAAAAAGAGAGAAAATAACTGATTCCGATGAACACCGTCGCATGTGAAACCCGTTGGCCTCGCGTCTCCCTCCATCTCCTCTCCTCTTCTCTCCCGGTTTTTATGGCTCCACGTGGCGAGCGGCCGAGCGTTGTTGTGCCGATCGAGCCGGGGGGGGGGGAGGAAACGCGCCCCCCCCCCCCTTGTGAGGTTTTCGGGGTTTTTGTTTGTCTCTCTCTCTCTTCCTCATCTGCATGGGGGTCTCGATGGGGGGTCTTGATGGGGGTCTCGATGGGGGTCTTGATGGGGGTCTTGATGGGGGTCTCGATGGGGGTCTCGATGGGGGGTCTTGATGGGGGTCTTGATGGGGGTCTTGATGGGGGTCTCGATTGGGGTCTCGATGGGGCTCTCGATTGGGGTCTCGATGGGGTCTCGATTGGGGTCTCGATTGGGGTCTCGATGGGGTCTCGATGCGCGCTCCGCCACCGTTCCCTGTCCACGGGGCCGTCGGCGCGACCTCTGCCGAAAAAAAACGCAAACGGGCATAACTTTATCGCTTCCTTAGTGCCCTGTGCTGTAACGTTTCATCAATTTAACATAGCAGCAATTATACCTCACGCAACTTAATCTTAGAACCAATGGTCATTGAAAAAATAAGTTTAAAAAAAATCAGTAAAATAAGATGATGATAATAATATTAAAGGTCAGTCCTCCTCTGTCTTTTACAAATGCTGATACTTACTACCTCTTTGCAACAATATCTGGACATCGGTTTAACAACTCCTCCAAACAGCGCGGCAAGGTATAGCTTTAATGTACACGCAAAACTGCTGAGTGGTTTTTTTGTCCTCGTATCTGTTTCACGTCTCTCTCTCTTCTTCTTCTCTCTCTCTGTCACGACGAATCAGGGTTACAGCTGAGGTGACTTAAATGAGCGGTTTGGGAGACTCGTCTCGGGCGTGACTTTGCGGACGTGCGGTAGTATAACCTCCCACCCCGCGAGGCGCTGGTTTTCCCACCACCACCCCCTTTCAAAAAAACTTTTTATGTACTGTACGTTGAACTTCTTTCGCACCGTACGTAGCCAACCGGCGCTAATCGGAGGTGCGGGCAGGGGTGTGGTGAGGTTTAGGATAACAAACTTAAGTACACAAAAAAAAATCACTTATAAAAGAAACGAGTCTGTCAATCTAGACTTAAAAGTGCAGAAATCCCAGCGACTTCTTAATATCGCAAGGAAGAGCGTTCCAGACGGCCGCAGAAGCGCCGTGAACGCAAATGCTGAAGGCGCGGGTGGGGTGGGGTGGCTTGCTCTATCCCAGGAGAACTGTGGCATTCCAAATCTCGTCGCACGCAACTGTGCTGTAACGCTTGGGTGGAAGCTCGCCATCTCTCGTGGGACTTGATGCCGTCTTTTTTCGCACCACGTGAGAACTTGTTTTTCAAGGCCAGCGTTTCTAAGAATGAGGCTGAAAGAGATAATTCACCTTCGAGGGCAAAACGCCCCGGGCATTAGGCCTCGGTTCAGGCGCCTCACGTGTGAGGCCTGGGCTCAGACATTGTGTAACAAGGCCAAAGTAAGACCAAGACGATGCCAAATGGTGCAACGACAAAGCCTCGAGAATCAGGCCAAAGGCAAAAAAACGTCCATCGTGGTTGTAACGTCTCATCAGCTCAACTCAAGCCTTTAACAGCGACATCGAATCAAAGGGCTAAGCCCTGGCTACTATCTTTAGCCTTGAAACACAAGTCTTCTCAAGAGCTGTGGTGGTGTTGGATCACTTGCTGGACTTTATTATCATCTTAGTTTTCTTTTTATCTTTTTTTTTACTCAAAGTGAACAAATTAAACCTTTTTTTCTGATTGCACCCCCTCGCAACATTACTCACACACCCGTACAGGGTCCCTTCACGTTTGTTGACTCCCCCTTCTATCCACACCATGTTGCATTCGTGTTGCCTGCGGTGTTACGGAGGGATGGTTGTTGTGATGTTTACGGGCTCTTCTCCTGTGTTCCGAGTTCCATGCGGGGATGACTCATGGGGGGTGGGGGGGGGGCAAGGCAATTTCAACCGAAATTTGATGTGGAAATAATCCGAACGAACGGGAACTATCGACGGTGTGTTCCATTTCCCTGGCAAATATTGGTGGAAACTGCATTTCGGTCAACGTACGAGTGTATTTTTGTTTTCAAAGAGTGATGTTTTAAGACCCGCTTTGCTCAGTTGGTGCACTGTCTATCACAGTTATGGGATCAGTTCGTTGAGGATTGAGCCTCAATACTACACAGCCAAACTTGAGACTGATATACACCCAGAAAGTATATTCGGGAGAATATAATTCCAATGGGGTATTCATTTATGGTCTACTTTTTTGCGCAGTAGATTCACGATGCCTGAAGGGTGTGGACGATTTGTTCCAATTTAATTTACAATCTGGAAGCATGCGACCAATTTGAGCTAATAAAAATCAACAAATAATTTTCCGCAATTTCGTGGGATATTTTAGTACTGCATTCGTACAAATTGACACCCCCCTCCCCCGCAAAGGCTCAGGGAAATAAGTAAATAAACATTCGTGGTTCTTTCGGTAAAGTCATGTGACTTTACCGAAAGAACCAAGAATATAAATCCCTGCAGTCACGAAAGCTTTAAATCAAAAGTAAATAAACGTTTACTCTTTTCGAAAACCACGTCGTGCTCTGTTAACAAACTCAGAGGAGTTTCGATGCTAAGTAGGCAATTCGACCGGACCTGATCTCTTACGATGATGAGATATTAAACAAATGTGGGCTGTAAGAAAAGGACTTGTGACTCCGGGAGTGGTCGTGTATATTTACACGGTTGGTTATATCACAAACATAGCTAAGGTCAGATTATAGTCTTACACGTGCAATGGACAGCCCAAGACAAACACAGCTCCATCCTCTCCTTGTCACTCGTAGTTACGTGCCAATTGCTCTACTAAATTCTGAACTGATAGGTGACGTTTCATGCATTTGAAACAAATCAATGAGTCTCCTTGCTCAAAAGAGCGTGGAGTCCAAAGCTTATTTCTATTCGTGGATGTGAGCCGGCGGTGGAAACTCCATATTTTCATGGCCAGGGGCGAGTCTGTCCATCGTACGTCCATTGTTGACCTCCCCAAGAAAAATGGTACTCAATTTTCCGATTCCCCCAGGGGCACGTTCTGCCAAGTTGACCCTCGGCCAGGATTTGAACGTTGTTAGTCCTCGAATTGCGATTTGGGACCATCTTGACGTCGGCGCCACTCTCGCAGGTAGTTCATTTCATTGCCGTTCTTCAATATTTTTACAGCCCTTGCACACGCTGACCAAAGCTGTTCTCTTTCTCTCTCTGGCATAGAACGTCATCTCGTTTCCCCCCCCCCCCCCCGACCCACCCCCCGCCCTTTGAACCGCCATTCCATTAGGGTCACGTTTTCAGAACGGTTGCTCGGCGGGTTAATTGGTGGTAACGGTGCATGCACCCATATAATCGGGCCACGTTTCGTAAAATAAAACTTAAAAAATCCTACGCCGGACCACCCGTGCCAAAGTTTTGGGAGTCATGAGTCGCCAATTATCTGCCTCTGTCCAGCATACCACCAATTAATATTTATTCCTGCCTGTTCACCATCTATTTTTAACAGCACACCCGACGCGCTGTCTCTCTATTTCGTGACGGCCGCGACGGTCGCGTGAAGCTCTCGGCGGGGAAGGGGGGGGGGCGGGGTCCGAGCCAGCGTTCGCTTTTTCGACCGCGTCGTGCACGGGATGCGTCTAAAGCCTCGTTTCCAAACGCGCGCGCCCCGGATCGCGTGCGATCGCGATCCGCGGCTCGCCACGGCTAC